CTCTCTGAATTGTTGTTGAGGAGTTACTGTCGCAAACCCTGACACTTGTTGGCAGAATGTATGCGTGCCATGTATTTTACTGTAGCAATGGACGCAGCGGTTGTAGGATGATAACTCTATTGTTCCTCTCTCTGAACTGTTTGTGAGGAATTACTGTCGCAAATCCTGATGAAGAGGGCCGCAAAGTCGTTTTGGCTACTTTGGTGCATGTGTTTGACCCTGTATTTTCCGCCTGTTCTCGCGAGGCATCCAGAGGCTATCAGGTTTCAGGAGCAACGAGTTACGGCGTGCATTTTGATGTCCTCCGCCAGGTGATTTTGTAGAGCTTTAGTCATGTTAAAATTAAAGCTTTTGGTCCGAGGTGGACAGTCTCTGTAGATAGGTGACAATAGTAGTTGCTGCTTGCTTGCTGTCGATGGTCGAGCAGACAGCAGGAGGTCCAATCCCTTAGGGTAGCTAAGCATTTTACTGTTCTTTTTACAGGGCTATCCTTAAAACTTGGACATAGGGATAAATAGACTCGGTAGCAGAGGTCACCGGTGTGCAGCAGTAGCAGGGGTTGAGTGCTCACGGAAGTTTACACAGGTTCATCGGTTACATTTTTGCTACATCAGAGTGGATGGCGCATCACCTCAATGCAGCTCCGCTTGAAGGATGACTCCACAACGCTTGGCTTCCGAAGGCATGTCTTGTGGAAACCATTTTGAACCAGTTATCCGCGGAAAACTTTTCTGTCGACGATATTGTCGCCCCAGGCTGAGAAGCGTGCATTTTTGTACAAGGGAATATAGGGACGCTGGCTATGTGCGTGGTGCTCAGTTCCATATTGCATCTGTTTGCTTGCTGATGATCGACAGTCTCTGACAGGCGGAAAGATCTTCTGTCGACGATTTTGTCGCCCCAGGCTGATGCGAACGGTGATGCGTGCATATTAAAATGTTGGGTAAGGTGTGGCTCTGCTAGGTGCCGTTACGTGGCGCGTTCACATTGGTGCTTTTTCCTTCCTGCGTGGCCCACCTTCATCTGCGCAAGAAACTCAGTCCATGCGCCTTGTCCATGTGGCGCACTGACCCTTTCCTCTTGCAACACTGCCAACACCAGCATATTCGCGGCAGCAAGCTTGGCCTACCCATATCTTGCTGTCGATGACTGCTGTGTCAATTCGAAAGCGTATCCGTCTCGCCTGAAGGATGACTCCACAACGCTTGGCTTCCGAAGGCATGTCTTGTGGAAACCATTTTGAACCAGTTATCCCTGTCTGATGGCGTTGCTGATTACCCTGTTTCCACATATCGCAGTTTATCAGCGCTTCTCGGAGCTGCTGCTCTCCGGTTGCGTTAAACTAGCTGCAAATACTTCAAACGCGGGAGCGATACGATTTTCCCTGCGGCAAGCACAACGTAGCAGTTTGTCGCTTCTGCCTCTTTAGACGTGAAATGTAAGCAGACTGTGTGAGGTTTGTGATCGAATTGTTCTGTTTGTTTTCCTGACAGAATGAAGCTGCATGGCATGGCGGAATGATGTAATGACGCAATATGCCGTTGCGCATGCCTCCTCTGTGATGGATTTGCTACTTCTATACGGATTGTCTGTGACGATCAAAACTCAAATCACCATCTTTCGACTGAGGGCAGGCATTGGATTAGACACGTGTATAGGGGGCAGCTACGAGCGGTGGACGTTATGGTATAGATAAAACAGCTCGATGTTGTGTTATATGTGCGAAGTCATCATGCTTGGGACTCCTTGAGGATGAGCCACTCGCTCATGGGAATCTCGCTGATTTCCGTGATGAGCAAACTGCGAACGCATCCCTTATCGCACTGAATGAAAAGGGGTTCAATGTACTAGTTTTGGTTTTTCGGCGTTTCCGATGACGACATCACAATCCATGTCCTATGAATCAATTCTTGATTAATCGCATTGCTGAAACAGAGGTTGGCCAAATCGTGAGAATGACCAGCGTGCAAGTGTGCGTCTATGCGAGGTGGACGACGCAAGCAGGGTATCTGCGTGGCTTGGTGGGGTAGAAGGCACTGCCTAACTTCTAAGCCACGTTAAAACAACTGCTGAGAGCCATGCAGGCGTGGTGCTTACGAACGAGCCTGCAGAGTACCTGTCGGCGTTCGGCTAGACCCATTTCACCTTACATCAACTATCTGGCAATGGCCCTTTAAGCGCTTCCAACGAAAAGGATGATAACTCTTTTGTTCCTCTCTCTGAATTGTTGTTGAGGAGTTACTGTCGCAAACCCTGACACTTGTTGGCAGAATGTATGCGTGCCATGTATTTTACTGTAGCAATGGACGACAAGAGGTCTCGCTAAGTGTGGCCTTTGTCCTGAGAGGTGTGGCCGTTCTTTTTTGGCAAAAACCTACTCAGCTTTGGAATAACGCGCGTCACTTTTGGGACGAAACGAGTTGGCTCAGATCCCTTGTTATTACTGTTGTTACTACTGGGAATCGCAGGTGTTTCCTTCGGCGCGGGTTCGTGAGCCTTCGGCTGAGGGGGTTCCTCCGTATGCTTTTCCGTTTCCTGGCCTTCTTCGAAAATCTTTTCACACTCTCGTTCAAGACGTGAGCACTCTTGCCTGCACAGCGGTAGCAGCATCATCCAACAGTCTGCCCAGCTGCGCGAATCTGGCACTGTCAACATCATCTGCGTGCGTTCACAGTACCGTTGCTCAACGGTAGGAAAAGCAGAGGCTGGAATACATCTACGTATACATATGCATACAAAATTAGGTGCATGCATCTACCTGTATATATATGTATATATATACCAAATTAGGTGGGAGGTTTCCTGGGTAGTGAGGAGTGCCGCTACCCCTGGGTTAACGGGAAGGAAATAGGAGGCGACGGTTGCATTGGCTTACAATAGGAACTCCAACTTCTTATTCGTTTCTGCACTCAGCGCCTCCGCGTGATTGGCGTGGACGCAGGCCTGGGCGACAACAAGAAACACACGCTTACACACTCAACACAACCTACAGGACGCAAATCGACGCAACTCGAGTACGGGAAGCTAGCACAAGTGATACAGGCGTGGGAATCTACCACAATGAGGTGCCCTGGTCAATGGAGTCTGCATTAGCTGCAGTACATAAGTCAACTGAAGATGAGAATGGCGAGGTCAGCTAACACTTGCATCTGCATAGCTGGCTTAGGCAAGCCCTTGGAATATTCCGATACGCGTTCCCTGTCTGCTTGATAACTTGCAATTTCCGTTGTACGGGCAACTGCAGTGAACTGATGCGGTGTTCTTGCAGACAAGCAATGGACGTTCCATGTGAACCTCACCCCCTTATAGAAGAATGCATTAGGTGCCTGCTAAGATTAAAAAACCGCTAGGTATTACATTGCACTCGTGTTTGCAAGGCTTAAACCTGTGGTAAGGTAACAAAATAGCCGCTAGCAACCAGTACTCGAGCACTTCGGAGCTGAAACTGCATCGGTTTTTAAAGGTCTTCAAGTTAGCATAAAATTCAGTGCTTTAGTGGAGGGGCAGTGCCTTTTCATACGAGGGTGGCTAGATCAGCTGCCAGCACGAGGGGGTCCCGTTCATCTTCATCCCGCCACTTTGTTGGAGCACCAGAAACCTCTACGCGCTGTGCTAATGATTCTGCCCCCTCCATTTGTCTGCCAAATGAGCGTTTTCGTACTACAGGTGAGATATTCCTTCAGCGCTCCTGAATCACCCCAGCTGAAGGACGCCTTCGCTTGCGCGGAATACGTTATGTTCAGACACGCTAAAGAGAGCCCGGGGCATTCACCTTGACTGCGCAAAGTCGAAATATCAACGACAAGAGGTTCGCCAATTGTTGAATGCGTCTGCTTGTCAAGGACAGTGCCCCCGCTGGTCTTGCTCGCACTGTTCTGGGGTTGAACGAAGACGGAAAATAAAAGAGCGCATTGTTTTTTTCGATTAAAGGGCAGCTTCACATGGAATGTGAATTCTGATGCTTAGTTGAGACGTATGGTGTGTGTGGTGCGTTTGCTTGAGTTCTCCCTCGATGCCATGAAAAAAAGCGCTCCCTCATCGGTGAAATGAAGCAGAATGAAAGTGCCGCTAAGCTGAGAAGTCAACCCATTGCGAAAATTTTGGCTAGAGCTATATTCTTCCTGTTGAAAATAGACGACGATCTTTCTTTCGCGTTTGTTCGGACCCCTTGTACATCGACGTTGACCAGCCGAACTGTTGGAGACCGCACTGAAACTGGTTCTACTGAATATTATCTGCCTGCCACTGCTTCCAAGAAATATAAAAGTAATTTTAATTTATTTCAGCCATTATATGAAAGGAGTTAATATCTCATCGTCCTATTCATCTTCATGTGGCGCTGCGAAGCTGGTGGTTTTCCGGAGGCAGCCATCGATTGGCTGCGTGTCCGCCCACATGCAGACTGCACGCTCTCAACTTTCCCTTTGCTTATTGCGCCCTTGATCATCGTTGCTTAATTAATTTCATTGTTTTAGTCTCCTAATCTCCTTCAGGTATTCTGCTTCAGCGATTTCTCCCGGCTCTTCTGCCTACCGTGGTCACAAGCCTACGGACGCTGCAAAACGTCAGATATTCCATGGATTCTTTTTGTTAGAGATGCCTTCTTTGAAGGAGTGTCTGTATTAATATAAGCCCCTCAATGATCGTCAAAGCCTAGTAATTACTTGCACGGCCGCCTGCATTGTCTAGACCGTCGTCATCATGGTTGCATCACTGCGTTTTTGGCTACTTTCCTGCATCTTTCTCCTCTTCAAGCCCTCTAATGGTCAGCCGTAGCCTCATAAACCCCTTTGCAATCTCTTCTGTGTGAGCAAGAGCTCCTTCATGCTTAGTTGGTGATGATGATGCCGGAATAAGTTTGTGTGGTTATAAGGGTTCGCCGCCTAGAATCGAAAACATGTACTATGCATACAGCTTTGTGTATAATGTGTGGGTTATGACGTCAGGCTTGTCCCATCAGGGCAGAGCAACTGCAGATATTCTCATTGATGGCGTCAGCGTTCCGCCGCCACCCCCGGGCACCAATCCTCTCGTTGCCTGGGTACACATGAAAAATGGAGGTAGCAGTGAGGTGCCTGCTGCCTCTTCGGAAGGTTCGCCAACTCAGCAGGCCGCTGGCACTCAGAACGAAAATTCGCAACAAGGCGAACAGCCTACAACTACAGACGCAAACCCCTTTTCTGCTTTGCAGGTCAGTGCCTGACCAACACACGAGTTTCAGCATGGTCTCAGCAACCGTCATTTGATGTAAGAAACTTTTAAACTGTGTGTACCTTGTGCGGTGTTCTTCTCTGCAGACTTCACAGGAAAAAGAAGCGGAAGAATGCTCTTGCGTCTTCATGGTAAGACACACTGCCGGAAGCAGTGTGGGTGCAAAACAACAAGCAGTAGCAGTAGAACCAGGACGGCTGCTAGCAGCTTGAACGGCTGAGAAGAAATTTTGGAGGCCGTGTGCGTGCATATAGGGTTTCAATATATGCGGGGGAAATGAGTTACTGTACTTTTTCTCAGGGCGCTTGTCTTTACAAAGGAGCCTGCCTTTGGATTGCCGGCAGCTTGTCTTTCGCAGTCCTTTTATTCTTGTTCTTCGTAGCCTGGGGACTGCAGTGGATAGTGGCAATTCCTGCAGAGTAAGAAACTCCACAATATAACCTCTGAAAGAATCACCAAGAAGAGCCCTAGAGTAGACATCCAAACACACCTCAAGCTTTACCCCATAACGATATAGTTTACTTTGGCTTTTGTCATTTTACGTTAGACAGACAAAACTCTAGCACGACCCCTAAGTTAAATTCTATTCCGTAAACGCTAAAATCAATCCCTAGTACAAGCCTTAAGATAGAAGACACGGTAAGCTTGAGTCCCAGTGCTTGCATCACAGTAAGCAATCGAGCGAACCGGTCGATGAACTCTTCGACATTCTCTGACTTTTCGACCCAGTAGGCGTTGACCAGTTTTATTTTAGCCGCATCCCTTCTGCTGTGTAGTTGTGTGTACGGTTTCGGGAGGTCAAAGAGAATGCAGCAAAATCACTAACTCGCATATTTGTTTCTTCTGCTGTTCCGATCTTATGTTATCCTACAGATGGATCCTCGCCAAGAAGCCCATTCGCGAAGGCAAAGTGAAAAGCTCTTCTTCTCAATCCACTAACTCTGCACCACTTCTGCAGGACTAGGTCCTTCTCATTCATGCGTCCATATGTTCATACCATTACAGCATGTATATATATATACATATATATATATATATATATATAT